AGGCCCAATCTATACTTTTTAGAAATTTTGTCTGTCTGTCCGTCTGTCTGTTACCGCATCACGGAAAAACTACTGGAGGGATTTTGATGAAATTTGGTGTGATGATAGCTGGTTATCCGAGTCATACAACATATAGGATACTTTTTACCGCGGGAAAACGTCTCATTTCTGAGAAAAAATACAAAAACTGCAATGTAAGAGTTTACTAATATGTAAAACCTAAGAATTTGGTTTTTGGTCATCTGAACGCGGGCGGAGCCGCGGGCAATGCTAGTTCAATTATAAAATATTATAAGGCACTTTAGTGTGATTTTTAATTTTTTGAATTCATTTTGTTATTTGAACTATACCTTTGAGTCATCTAAAACCTCAGTCTCTCTCGTGACCAGCGATGCTGTAAAGCATTCGAAACGTCGGGAACCAAAAATCGAAATAAATTCGTGAAAAAATCCGAAAAGATTTTTTTTATTTAAAAATCTATCTCAAGATACCTACGTATAGGTTAACCTAATAATAAAAAGTAAAAAATACTGAATGGGGCTTTTTTTCTACCTACTATAGGTACCTAATCTAATTTGTTCTTCTAAAAGAAATCGATTAATATATTTATTAAATTAATCGATTTCTTTTAGAAGAACAAATAATTGAATTAATTTGAACTATTTTACCAGCTATTACTTTAATTTTTATTGCTCTTCCTTCTTTACGTTTACTTTATCTTTTAGATGAACTTAATAATCCTTTAATTACTTTAAAATCAATTGGTCATCAATGATATTGAAGTTATGAATACTCAGATTTTAATAATGTTGAATTTGATTCTTATATAATTCAATCAAGTGAAAATTTATTTAATTTTCGACTTTTAGATGTAGATAATCGTATTATTTTACCAATAAATAATCAAATTCGTATTTTAGTTATCGGTGCCCTCTTCCTTTTTAGAAGTCGATTAAAAAGAATATATTTGAAGTCACTGTAAACCTAAATACAGTCACATTCATCTCCACTTAGGTAAATTAATTTGCAATACGAGATTTTGGCAGTAGATTTTGAACTATTAATATAATACTTTCAAGCAAAAACACCTTTGACTGTTATGTTAGAGAATAAAAAAGTCGTGAAAAAGATTTTAAATACATAACTTTACATCATCAATGTATTCCATACATATAGCGTTATTTTTTTATTTATATAGGATTTTTGAGGTATAGCATGTTCATTATTTTTTTTAATGAAAATCGATTTATAAAAAAAAGAAGGCATTTAAAAAAAGAAGAATAGGAATGGAATATCTACTCCTTTTTGATGTCAGTCAAAATTTCTAAAAACTCTAGATTACAAACTATAGTTAAGGCGTTAAAAACACACACACATTTGAAAAGAGGAATTTAACAAACATGTTTACATGTAAAAAATTTTTTTTTTCATTGATACTTTTTCTATTGATAACACTAAAACTCATCAATGGCTACTAAAGAAAATAAAAAAAAATTGGTTAACAAACAGAGGAGAAAAAGGTACTGAACAGTTTTGTTATTACCTATTTTATATGTGTGGTTAGTAAGGTATAACCTATACCAATAACAGTCAACAATTTTAAATGTACTGAGTCACGCGTCGTAGCGCACACCTACGACCTCGCTTAAATTTTTAGATACTTCTGTTGATATTTATTGTTTGTTTCAGGGACATGTGAAATATATTCAAATTATTCATATAATTTTGTTGGAATATTAAGTTTCAATGTAGACTATTCTTATAGAGTTACGTACAATTATCGAGGCAATACGTTTAAGGCAGCAAAATTTGTATGGTTCATGAAAAAATAATTTGCTATACGCGGATTTCGAATCCGCATCAACCGCAATGGTGAAAGTGCTGAAATATTCAAAATTTCTCTCAGTTCAAGTTTTTACTATATCCTATACACTACACTTATATTATGATACTAGCGACTCACCCTCGCTTCGCTTGGGTTCGTCCCTAGCTTGATTCCCCATACAAACTTTCATTCCCATTTTCACCCCCTTAAGGAATGATTTCCGGGATAAAAAGTATCCTATGTCTTTCCTAGGGTCTCAAACTATCTTCTTACAAAATTTCATCTAAATCGGTTTTTTAGATCCAGAGATTGCCCACTGTCTTCACTTCTTAGTCATTACAATCTTGACAGACTGGTCGTGGACATAATATAGGTCTTGTAACCCGTTCGACTATTCGCCTCCACTCCTCTCTATTATATCATTACCCACTACAACGTCACAAACTCACTTATATATTTTAACAGGATTATTATGGTATTGTTTCGGGATATTAGTACTCGTAGCTAATTCTGATGTTGTCTTAAATGTTCGCGTGTACGAGGCGATAATCTATTTGTGCTCTATTTACCATCACCTAATTGTACGTTATGACCCCTTCTAATCACTTACAACTATTACTCGCACGTGGCTTCGCCTGCGAGAAAATAGTCTCACAAGATAAGAATGTATTACTTGATGGTTCAAGAACTTATTTTAAAATTTATATCATACTAGAATTACCTGCGGCTTCGCTCGCGTTCGTTTCCTTCGCCTGATTGCTACAAAACTTCACAGGATCACTCACTAAGCTAATCTGAAGACTGACACACTGACTGCAGCGCCACCTACCGGATCCAATTGTGTTTCCAAACTATCCAGGAGCCCATTGAAATATACACACAAAATTTCATCCAAATCGGTCCTTTACGAGGAGTAGGTTAACAAACACACGTACAGAAGAATTATTTTTCAATGATTGTCATCAATAAAGTTTTACTGTTTCTGAGGTCTATCTACAGTAATATCTGATAGCTTATGTAAGTACGCTTAGGTATGTCACAATGTCCTAGACAACCACATGACGTATTCGTATATAGTTGTGCTTAATATACTCTAGTGAATAACTGAATGAAACTAAGTAATTAGTGGCAATTAACAGAATGACATTGTCCATTTTGTGACAGCTATAAAATATGTAAATGACGGCACAAATGTGACAGACTAACTTATTTTACTTATGAAATTTTTATTTGGAATTTTTATTTAGTGTGGAATTATTAGATGATAACATTATAACTAACAGGTACAACGATATCAGAATCGCTTGAACTATAATTTATCTACCGGAAGGGATAAAAATGTTTAACATATCAAAATCGGCTAACAATTGACCAAAATATCGAATAAGACACAAAATAAAAAATCATCCGAATTGAGTATATTCTCTTTTTTTCTATAGCCAATAATTTTGTAAAAGTTATCATTGTTTGAGTTGAGTTCTGAAGTTGTCTGTAATATATTTTTCTCTATGCTCCAGTAACTTAAAAAAGAGTAATAGTAGGTAAGCGTGCTATGGAGATATCTTGAAGAGGCAAGAAAGTCATATAAGCTAATCAGCATGATCAATTTGGATTAATGGATATAGACGTGCAATGGGGTCGAGGAAGGTATTGAATAGACTGCGTGAAAGAGATAAACATGTTAAGTCGACTCCAAGTAGTGTGGAATAAGAACAAGGATAAGAAAAAGAATATTAGCATTAAGAAAACTAAGCGATTATGTTCCGACTGATTTAAGCAACGGCAGCCAATCTTACGGAGACTAGTTTGCCTAGGAGATATTATAGTGCACTAGTATGCACGCACATACAAGTTTACTCGCTATTCCTTTCGTTCTCATATTCCTATGGGAAGGAAATTTGACATTATCGATGATAGTTAAGGCGCAGGATGGGTTTACATGCTCTCGGAAGTAGTAAAATAGCACCAACTGTTGTAACTGAGAATTTCTTGATAGAAAAACTCAATACTTAAACTTCTTCCAAGACAGGATTCGAACCTAGGACCTCCAGATGTACAGCCGTATATGCACGGCACTAGTTTATCAACGCAGTAATACGTATACTCATACCATGTTCTGTAGTATACCGTAGTCTTTCGAGCATTTGACTGGGACAACTCTAAATGCAAGGGTAAAATTAGCTTCAAACAAGCTATTACTTATGCAAACCAAACTGTGGTCCAACTAACTTCATCTCACAAAAGCTATAATTTTATAATAGAATACATTATGTGTTTAATTAGCTTTTATAAAGCGTAAAAAGTCGGAATTTATAAAGCTTTTTATATTTTTATATGAGTCGCTAATGGAAAAAATAATTAAGTTCATCTACTGATTTTCAGGACAAGTAAATACAAAGGAAGTTTTATGCAGTTTTTTCCACTGCAAAGATTTCTACATGGTCGAGCATGTTTGCTTATATTAAAACTCGTAACTCGTGATTGTAATACTTTGACAAAGTAAAAATATCGTGAAGTGTGAGTCGAGCTCATTTTAACAATTGTTCCGTATATTATAGGCATTTGAGGATACGGTACTAAAATATGTAATAGGTATATAAAAATCTCTTGTCACGGTGTTTGTGGTCGCACTCCTTCGAAACGGCTAGACTGATTTTAATGATTTTTTTTGTATATATGAGTATGTTAGGTATTAGAATAGGCCGTAAAGTATTTTTCACCCTCCTACCCCCATCCCCCATTTATTAATCGCGATTGTAGTATTTTTATGTGAACAATATTATACAAATACATATAACGCTGTATAACATAAAGTCAAAGAGTTTTTTTTAGGTTGAACGAATATACTCGTATTTTCGTGTAAAATATGATTTTAAATTAATGACACAAATGTCAAAGGAAAGTTTGCCTTGTTTACCAATTTTTTCCAATTTAATTAATCATGACTCGCCACATAAAAAAATACGTCCAATAAAAATATTTGTTAAATATTATTAAATATTATACAAGAAATGCGAATTGACATACATTGGCTCCTAAAATGTCATATCCCACATAATTTTATTGTTGTAAAACAAAAACATTAGTAATAGTATAATATATTCATCTTATTACAATTTGTACAGCACTTTTCATAATATAAAAGTAATTAACATCAGACATTATTAAAGCACTAAGTTTCTCTTTTCTCTCTACATATTGGTAAGGGTTCACAACCGAGGCACTGTCTAGGTTGGTACGGTACACAGATTTCTTCACCTCGACAGGCATGACCCTTGCACACATTTAAATCTTCTAGACATGATCTGAAAGCTGGAATTAAATATTTATTAATTAACTTAACGGTTAGTATGGAATAGATAGATTATACATATAATATATAATTTTTTTTTTTCAACTTAAACTTGACGCATTGATGTAGATGATAGGTCCGTCACTAACGCCGTCTATTGAAAGTAATTCAAAGTATAAAAATAAACAGTTCTGATTTTTTCAATTTTTTAGCGGTTTTCAATTTTTTTATACTTAAACCACCCCTGACACACCCCCAATAAAAAAAAGAATTATTCAAACCGGTCCAGCAGTTTTTGAGTTTTAGCGAAACTAACGAACAACAATTGATTTTTATATATAGACAATATTATAAGCTAGGTATAACATTATAAATGTAAAAGTAACTCTTTTCTTTACCTTTTCAGTTAAGCTAAAACCGTGACTTTCCCGATTTTGATGAAATGTGGCAACGAAATAGATTACATCATAGGTCATAGGGAACTTTTTATTTCCGCCACGTTTACCGTGTACGCGTAGCCGTAGGTAGTGACTAGTATGATGTTAAATAATTTATTTAAGTAGGCAATACTGCACAGTATTATAAACGGAAAATAAAGCAGGAGGAAGTGTTTCTGATATAATAACATGTAAACAGTTGCATGGATATGGATATTAGGTTATTTTTATGGTGTTCAGTAATAAAAGAGCAGACAGACCACCTGATGGGAAGCAGTACGTGTCTCCCATAACACCTACGGTTCATGCACTTAGGTTTTATGTTACAAAAATGCAGAACCGTAGGTGCGCTGTCACTGTGAGGACTAAGATGATATGCATCTTGCCTGTAATTGCGCTAGCTACCTTATCCTTCAAACCGGAACACAACAATGTGATCATTGTTGCTTGCCGGAAGAAAGGTTATATTGCGATTTTTATTAAGTATATATAATAAGTAAAGAATATATATTAAGTATAATTTTACTAGGTAGTATATTCAATGGGATCATAGGTAGTAAAATTTTGTCCTTTGAACAAATTTTTAGTTCTAAGCTTGTCCATAGATGGCGCTGCTCAAGAAAGAAAACACTTCATGCAGAAAAAAAAGTTGCGGCAGAAATTAGTTTAAATAAATTCTTCTTACGTATCGCCGCATACTTAATATTTAGGTCAAGAAATTTTAAATTGAAATTGTAGAATTATTGTACAGTATTTTTTATTAATTATTATAAAACAGTTAAGGCGCGCAGAACCGACGGCTTTACGTGCTCTCCGAGGCACGGGGGTGAAACACCGCCAACTTCCCAACTCCGGGCTGTTATTGAGGCTTAATATACAGAAAGACTCAATAACTAAACTTGGCCCGACCTGGGACTCGAAATTAGGACCTCCGGGTGTGCAGCCGTACACGCTAGCTACTAACCACCGAGGCCAATGAATGCCTTAATTATTAAAAAAATATACTTACTGTCCATACAATGTTTATCAAAGCAACACCCGCCGCAGCATTGCTCGTGCGCATTACACTGTGAATTACAAAATAGAATTTATCTGTAAAATTATTAACATAATACTTATTACTATGCCATACCATAATTTAATGTTTCCCATAAATTTTTTTAACGATGCGGATGAAGACGATGTTCAAAACATATTATTTATAATAATAGCGACTTTTTGTTGCTATGCTGGTGCGTTTCTGTATGCCTAATAGCTGATAAAGCAACTCTACGACCTTTATTTTCCGACTTCAACTTATGATTTCTGACTGTATCAAAAAATTTAACACACGGCGGTAATATAGTTCCTATTAGTGAAAAATGTTCAAAATAGGATAAGTCGTTTTAGTGATTAAACTCTACATACAACTTTACAAACTTTATTTCTTTACTAGCATTGCCCGCGGCTCCGCCCGCATCCAGATGACCAAAAACCAAATTCTTAGATTTTACATATTAGTATACTCTTACATTGCAGTTTTTGTATTTTTTCTCAAAAATGAGCTATTTTCTTACTGTAAAAAGTATCCTATATGTTGACCCGGATAACCAGCTATCACCACACTTAATTTCATCAAAATCCCTCCAGTGGTTTTTCTGTGATGCGGTACATATTAATATATAGGAATAGGAAAAAATATTTAATGCACAGATTCGGCTTAGTTACAATTTTATTATATTTATATAGATAATATTAGTATAGATTTGTGAAGCTTCTTTAATAGTCTAAGTGAAGAAGCAAATAAAAATTATACAATAAAATTCATGTACATTTTTGTTTAGAATTATTTTATCTTCAGGGAAATAGCAGCTACTGTTTAACTCAGTATTACAGACCTACCGTTAAATTTTAGTTAAAAAGTACATTAATGTAAACCTATTACTCTCTTTTATATAACCTCGAATACACACGTAAAATAAACAACGGTGAAACTAAGAACATATGTATGTACATCAAAACATATTTTAAAGTTACATATTAATATAAAAATAAACTTTAGTTAGTTATTTTTACTATTATATATTAACTTTAGTAAGTTATATTAGTATATAGCAGAAATAATTTTCTAAGTTACCTACCTGTTTTCCTTTAACCGTGCAATCCTGACACTGCGCAGCCACCAACATGAACGTCACTAGCAATAAACTCAAACGCATCGCTGGAGATCTACATACATACTACTCGTAGTTTTCGTGATAAATGCGACACTACGGTCTATACACAATCAAATATGAGTTACTATAAATCGTTTCGTACACTATAGATAAAAATGTCGCGTGTTAGACTTTAAGCGAAAAGATTTGCTTTTAAAATGGTAGGAATTCGTTGAAATATAAGAAGCTATTTAGTATTGTGAAATATTCTGTGGTACGCAAAATTATTGAAAGATAGGTTGTTAGGGGTATACAAGTTATATTGAATATTCTCTCATAGGTAAAATTATAGATATGTTAGGTTATTGGTTTCATAAGGTAAAGTTTTTACTATTTATAGTATTAAATATTGGTTTTTATATTTTTTATTAATAGAAATCCATGAAAATACGTTAAATATACGTAACACAGCATACGGATTCTCTTAATAAAATAACTTTGTATGAAGAAGGGGATAAACGAGAATAAGCTATTTAAAAAACAAGTGTGAGTCGGATTCGCACAAGGAGGGTTCCTAATCGTTTTTTTTTAATTTGCATAGCAGCAATTTTGAAATTCGCCATCTTGATTTTTTATTATTTGTTATTATAATTAACTTCAATAAATACAAACTCTGTGAAAATTTCAACTCTCTATCTATTACAATTCATGAGATACAGCCTTCTGACAGACGGACGGACGGACAGCGGAGATGAGAGATAAAAAAGATGAAATGAACATTATATGAATGTATTACTAATATCTGAGCAAATTTAATTTTTTTTAAAAGGGCAAGTTTTAGTTATTTTTTTATAAGAAATCTTACATTATGTAATTTTTTTCTATTTTCAGATCTTTCTATATGTCTTATGTATGCAAATTTCAAGTACGAGTATAGCGCAAATGACCTCGATCAATGGCCGAGTTAGTTCAGGTGCATTTGTGCATTTATTATTTAAGTGACATAGATGCTGAATATTGCACAATTTTCTTATTTTAGACGAATATTTTCTACTTGACTACCTGCTATTGTAAATATAAAAGGGTATCTGAAAATTCGTTTTTTATAAACATGGCTAAATTCCTAAACCGATTTTACTTAAGTTTGGTACATATTATATGGCAGCGGTTCCCAAATGTTGATCCTCGGAACCCTAGTATTCCATGGAAGGGTCACAGGGGTTCCTAGTTGCGTCCGAGAGTTAAATAGAACTTTGTGCAACTACAATACAATCAGTTTAGTTATTATCAAAATGGGGATCCGTTAAAAAATTATAATCAGTTAGAGTTCAGTGGGCAACAAAAATTGGGAACCGCCGTTATAGTTGATGTAGTTGAAAAAAAAAACACATGCTTTTATTCAGACTCACTGCGGGAACCCATAAAAATACCTTCATGAGATAATGAATTCGAATTTATGAGAGAAAATTGTGCCTTTAGAGAAATTATTTCACAGCTCTCTCTACCGATAAATTCGCATGGTAATGATATTTGGGTCAATATTTACAACATAATATGTTATGTATGTAAATAGTTATTGAACCATTGTAAAATCATTGAACATGTTTATTTTGGTCGGAATCTATTGTAAAATAATTTGTGGAAGTGAGCATGGCGTGACGTTTCACAATCAAGTAAGGTTGGAGGTATTCTCCTTATTTACATGTAAATCGTACAAGCTGGCATAAATTTGATTCTAAGGAGTGCTTTTTCATAAGAACTATTTCGCAAATATGTGCATATTGTGTATAGTGCATATATTGCTCTTATTGTATTTTTGAATTATATTAAATGTTTAGTGTAATGTGAAATGTTTACTGGGTAGTGATAGCCCAGTGATAATGCGCTCGCTTTAGAAACCGAGTGAAGCGGGTTCAAATCCCGGGCCTCAAACCTCTGATATTTTCATGTGCGAATCATTTCCAATACGATTACCACTTATCTTACGGTGAAAGAAAACATCCTGAGGAAACCTGCATGCCTGAGATAACATAGCAAGTTTTCGAAAGACATGTGCAATCCGCCAACACGCACTTGGCTAGCGTGGTGGACATGGACGAATTAGAGACTGGACCTGACATAAAATACAAATGTATGAAAACTAGTTCAACCAAGTGACGCATAACGCACACAAAGATTTTATTACATTATTATAAACACTGATACACAATACAATATTTCTAGTGCTTGAACGTAATCGATGAAATACATATATCGATGAACCAATAAATGACATTTTAGACATTAGTTAGCATAGTCATCATATTTTACATCTTTTAATTTAAAATATCTGTATTTATTATAATAAATTAAAATAAATGAATTAAAGAGGCAATAATAATGTGTCAAATAATAATATTTTTTTAATTTGATTTATATAAATACGATGGCATTGATGGCAACATTCTGTTGGCCTATAATAATGTTAATAAACAAATGAATATCGGGTGTATATTCCATATAATAAATATTATTTTGTAAAGATTAAAAAATATTAAGCTAATTTAATTAAATAAAGTGATTTTGTTGATTCTGTTATTGAACTATTTTAATTGGCAATTGATTGTCTCGGGTAGTTATAAAAATGTGACACTGTCCTAATATTGCTCAGTTCTTAATAAACATTTGCGAAATTAGGAAAAAGAAAAAGTAATTGCAAATTGTGAAAAAGTGAGTGTTGGATCGTGAAAGTAAAATAATTAATGCAAGTGGTAAAGTGTTTTATTACAAATCGCCAACCCAGAAGTTTAGTGCTAAAACATTATTCTTTGATTTTGTGTAATTTATGTGTTAAAATAAAATGATCTTTATTATTATTACAATGGAATTATATTCCAAAGTATATAAATGTGGTATAAAATAAAATAAAAAATTAAGTACACATACTAATTATAATTTTTGCATTTATATTTTTATTTGATTTAGAAAATATTTTTATAAATTTATTGTCATCAGATTGTAGCATACTGTGATAAAAGTATTTTATGTTATTGTACTATACAAATAACACAATTCGTTCAGTTATTTCGTCAAATATCGATATATTTTTCGACATTGTCAAGCACTAGTCGATGTCAAATGGACTCACTCGACAGTTTTGTCATTTGTTCTGAATGGAATAATCCAGCCCGTTTATGATGGTTGTCAGATGTCAACAATACATAGAAATATCGACTATATTTAACATAGTTGGATAATATGACATTTTATTTTACATTTAATGAAATTTTGTGATAAATAACAATAAATATAATAAAATAATGTATTTACAAGTGAAAAGAAATAGTGTTGCTTCCGCCGTTATAGTTTTTACACCAATTAACAGAACATTTAGTCATTTTTGGGAGATGTTTTGTTGACAAGTAAGTGCTTGAGACTGACACAAAAAACAAACGACCTAGGCTAAAATTCCCTGGTTACTGACATGACCGTTAAAGGTACGTCCGCTTATATGTCTGGTCCAGTGGTTAATTCGTTCATGGTGGTGGACTATGGCCTGATCCCCCTCGTACTGAAGGGAGGCCCGTGCCCAGACATACACTAATATTTCACAGAAACTTTTTAATTTACACAGATAAATATATATATTTTTCACTAGCTCCAGTGACTAATTAAGGGAGGTTTTTCAAATAACTTAGTCATAAATTTTCAATCTACAACATTGATAGTAATAACGACATAATGAAATTATTATTCCTTATGCACATTTGATGTTTTAGTCATTAAGGCGAGTCCACTGCTGAATGTATAACCAGGTGTAGCTTGCCGATCTAATTTCAATTGAGCTAAGTGGGCTGGGCTAGCAGGTTACCGAATTCGGCCTTGGCAACCAGCTGAAGGCTTCCTTGTGTATGTACTCGATATTTACCCATTTGGATCGTATTAAATAAAGGTTTAGTCTTTTCTAAAAAAAGAAGTTTTTTTTTGTATCTTTTCCGAAAAACACCGAAAAACACCTCTCTCTTCCGAAAAACGAGACCGCACGTTAGGGGGTGAATTCATACTTGTTTTCGCTGGGGAAACCCATCATGGGGACCCTGCCACCGTCATGGGCAGGGTACTGTGAGAGCCCTACACACTAAAACCCACAGCGGAACCCTTCGCCGCAGTGCAATGGGGCGTGCAGGATCGCTTTCGCACTCACTGCATCACCCCTGCGGAATGATTTTATACCCCTGGGCGAACACTAGTACACGTAAATATTTTAAATACAACTATCTTTTCGGATTTTTTCGCGAATTTATTTTGATTTTTGGTACCCGACGTTTCGAATGCTTTACAGCAATCATGGTCACCTGAGAGACTCCCCCGTGACCATAATTGCTGTAAATAATCATAAAAATCAGTTTAAAATATACATTCGAACAAAGTGCAGGAAGTACTCATTAGAATTCGGACAAAATCTCTTTTCAATTTTTGGAACTTTGTACTAAAACAACTTTCACCCAACGCACCTATTTGACATCAATCGATTATGAACAATTGCTTTATAAAATAGATTTACTGTAACACGATTTATTCAAAATTAAACAAAAGAACGGAGTGGTTAGAAATTTAGTGGGCCATTGTATTGGACCTATAGTATTGAGCCACTGAACCATGAAGTAACGGCTTAAAAGGGTTACAAAGAGGACCTATACACATAAAATCGATACTGTCTAGACTGATTAATGATTCTTAGATATAGAGATAGTTAATGCAAGAGCAAAATAGATAAAAATATAAGTTAAGACAATATCACTGCAACTTGAGACTGAACTTTCTTCTTTTAAAGATTTGCAGATACTTGTTTTGTTAATCTACTTTCCTTTCTAATATTATTATCATCCTTATTTATTATCCCTACATAGATACATTATATTAATTTGAATGCCTCGTTAGTCTAGTAGCTAGAATGTACGACTGCAAATCATGATGTCTTAGGTGCGAGTCCCGGGTTGGGCAAAATCAATTTTTGATTTTTTGTCATCAAATACGTCTCCGTGTCCAGTTGTTGATTAGTCTCAGTGAGATTAGCTACCATA